ATTGTAGAAGTTACACTACAACAGATTATTAATTCAAATCTTCTGCATAAATAGACATTACATTACTAAACTTTACAAGATATATAGCATAACGACTCTAAAGCCACATCAGCCCGTTGAGATTATAGTGTTTTTTGTTTGCTTGTTTGTTTTTGGGTATTTTTTGCAGCTTTGCGCAGACTTGTTTACGTTTTACAGAAACAAAACTTAAAAAGCGCATGGTTAATTTGCATAAACAGCGCACTCCACGTGCCGCTCATGCGGTTCAACTTCTTTTGGACTAAAGCACATGACTCGGTGGAATATGAGGATGTGCTGCTGAAGGTTTTGTCTGTAAATGGTGGAAAAGTTTCGTGGCGCTAGAAGCTTTTCACTGGCACCAACTTTAGGCGTTCACGGTGATAGTGAGGAGTGAAGGAGACAGAGCGAACAAAATCAGGGAGGCGGGGGCGCGCAGGCGAAGACAGAGAAGACAAACAAACGAAGCGGCGAAATCAGAATTGAATATAAGCATTATATCGATATATACGATATGTCAGAATTCATATCGAGTTTGAAAAATATCTCGATATATTAAAAATATCGAGATATCGCCCACCCCTAGCGTACCCCCACTTAAAACATCACTTAAGTAAAATAATACCACTTAGTAAAATAATATCACTTAAGTAAAGGTAGGAGTAGTAGTCGGAGTCGGAGTAGGAGTCCATCTAGTACTCAAGTAAAAGTAACTGTAAATGTAAGTGACTGGGCATGACTGGTTGCATGCATTTAAGTTAATATAATTTTAAAGACAAACCAAAAATAATGGTATTTTCAAAAATGAGAGTTAAATCATGTCAGAAGGAGTGATGCAAGAAACACAAATGTTCAAAAAATGTCATACTGTCTACATAGTAAAGCTTTTGTCACTGTAGACTCATTCACAGTGGGTATCCAGAGCTTTTACTCAAGTAAGAGTACTGTCAGATATATTCCCTTTTAGAGAAATTAGTAGTCTAAACTGTCATATGCACTTTAGAAGATAATGGAACTTGATTTAGCATAATATGATAATTATGTGGTTACAACAGTCAAAATATTCTAAATTACAGTTTCACTCAATGTCACTAAGGCTGCAAGATTAATCCAATCGAAATTGCAGTCTGAATACTGACATTTTATTTTATTTTTTTAAAGTACCACAATTTCCTCAACAAACAGCTAAATCTCCTGTCTTATTCTTCATAAAACTGCTAATCCTGTAGTTCACATCTGTACAAACATGCTTCATATTTCAGTCTTTTATCAGTTCTTCTGAACGAGTTTAAAATGTGAACTTTGTGCTGAATCCAATACAAAAATCGTATATCGCCTGTCAGAAAAATCTGAATTTCATCTTATTTATTTATTTATTTATTTATTTGCAAATCATTCAGCCTTTAATGCTCATCCCCTCGGAAAAAAAATACAGGAGTGGTCAGTCTTTTATATTTCTCTATACCTGAAACCTTCAACCTCCATTTTCCGTTCCAAGCGCAAAATCAAGAAACTATTCACAGTGAGGGTCAGACTGATGGTTCGCTTTGAACAATAGTTAAAAGTTACTCCCTTTTGCCCGAGCCTGCTGTGCGTAATGTCTACAATCAGCCACTTCCAATGCAAAAAATGGAACTGACAACAAAAGCGCGAGGTCGGTCATATAGAGCCATAGTAAACCAACCGTGCACCGTGATTATAGTGTGTAGTTGATTTTAAAGCTCTTATATTGCACGAAATTACTTCTTGTGATCTTTTAGCCGTGTTGTAATTAGGGCTGGGAATCACAGTGTCCCTCACGATTCAATACAATACTCCATATCACGATACAATATTATCACAATATGATTTTGAATTTAAGAGCAACAATATGTCTTTGTTAAACCACTGCTTGTGCAAAGTTAAAGTGAAATACATTTATTTTAAAGGTGCGCTATGTAACATTTTGGTTGGGGGTCCGTCACCTGCTTTATATCTATGGATATGTTTACCTTACTTTTATTATTTTTTACTTGAAATTCCAGAGCAAGAACTAGGGATTTCCATAACTGTTACCAAGCAAATTCTCTCTAATCTACACAAAAATGATTATCTGACGTCTACAAATATAAGAAAACACCTTTATGTAGTTGAAATCGTGTTTAAATTTATCAGAAAAAAAATTGTTTCTTGTCTATATTGTTCATCAATGTGTTTGAAATCCTGTAATTTTCAACATATTTTTCAACTTTTCTTCACAAATTATTTCTTGATTTGTGTAAAAAAAAAAAAAAAAGTTTATATTTACAGCAGGTATTATCCCACCATATTAAGTCATAATCTGACATATGCATTTTTAAACATGCAATGTGTAAAATTCTAGAGGAGGGTTCACCACCTTCTCGTCTCCATGCTTTGACCAAAAAAAAAAAAAAAAAAAAGAAGTGTTAGTATAGTAGTATAGATTAAAGGGACAGTCAGGAAGTCTATGTTAATGGCCATA